CGTTAGCCGGGAGGCCCAGCCTCCACGCGTGGCCATCCAGTGGGCTCACCCATTCCATCTCCCAGCACCAACAATTATTTTGTTGAGTGCCATGGGTGGGGTGAGCCCTTCTTTCCCATTCCACCCCTCACGCCTGCCCCTCCTGAATGGGTGCCATCTCCTCTGCTCTGAGCCCCATGAAAAGGGGATGAGATGACCTGGCTTCCACCAGGCGGCTGTGCCGTGGCAACAGGAGTTGTCCCTCAGAGGGCCACCGAGATCCCTGCGGCCTGGAGGTGGGCTTTCTTCAGTCTGAAGACAAGAAGGTTGCCTGATGGGTGGCTGAAGGTGAAGCCAGACCCTCTGCGGTGGTGCACGAAGAATAGCAACAGATCAAGCAAAGGAGTTAGGCAAGTGTTCCTTTGGACAAGCAGGAGACCGCAGCCCTGCCAGGAAGAAGTGCTGGCCTTCAGCATGAAGGTCCCTTCTAGGTGCCTCAAGAGGAGCTCCTTTCAAGGTTGGGCAGTAAGCAATTTAAAAAAAACCAAACAAAACAATAAACCGAGAAAATAACAGTAAAAATGCTTTCCTCCTCTCTTGTTTGGTACTTTGGCGACTGCGTCTGGACTCCTCTGTCCCCTCCTGGTCTCCCCAGACCAGGAAAGACACTGATGCGTGGGGTGTGGGCCCAGCCTTTGAGATGGTGAGGGGCCAGGGCACACAGCACACAAGGGCAGGCTGAGGGAACTGCCTCTAGTCATGAGGGTGGTGAGACACTGGAGCAGGTTGCCCAGAGAGGTAGTGGATGCCCCATCCCTGGAAGTGTTCAAGGCCAGGCTGGCTGGGGCTTTGGGCAACCTGATCTAGTGAAAGATACCTGGTCAGCCTCACCTCTGTGCCTGGGAAGATCATGAGACAGATCCTCTTAGAAGGTATTTTAAGGCACATGGAGGAGAGGGAGGTGATTCAAGACAGCCAGCATGGCTTCACCAAGGGCAAGTCTTGCCTGACCAACCTAGTGGCCTTCTATGATGGAGTGACTACATCAGTGGACAAGGGAAGAGCTACAGCTGTCATCTATCTGGACTTCTGTAAGGCCTTTGACATGGTCCCCTACAACATCCTTCTCTCTCAATTGGAAGGATATGGATTTGATGGATGGACTGTTTGCTGGATAAGGAATTGGCTGGATGGTTGCATCCAGAAAGCAGTGGTCAACAGCTCAATGTTCGGATGGAGATCGGTGATGAGTGGTGTCCCTCAGGGGTCCATATTGGGACCAGTACTAGTTAATACCTTCGTCAGTGACATAGATGGTGTGATGAAGTGCACCCTCAGCAAATTTGCAGAGGACTTCAAGCTGAGTGGTGCAGTTGACATGCCTGAGGGATGGGATGCCATTCAGAGGGACCTGGACAAGCTGGAGAAGTGGACCCATGTAAGCCTTGTGAGGTTCAACAAGGCCAAGTGCAAGTCCTGTGCCTGGGTTGGGGCAACCCTCAGCATCAATACAGGCTGAAGGATGAAGGGATTGAGGAGAAGGACTTGAGGGTACTGGTGGATGAAAAATGGGACATGAGTTGGCAATGTGCACTCACAGCCCAGAAAGCCAACCGTATCTTGGGCTGCATCAAAAGAAGTGTGGCCAGCAGTCAAGGGAGGTGATTCTGCCCCTCTACTTTGTTTTGGTGAGACCCCACCTGCAGTACTGTGTCCAGCTCTGGAGTTCTCAGTAGAGGAAATACATGAACCTGTTGGAGCGTGTCCAGAGCAGGGCCACAAAAATGAGCAGAGGGCTGGAACCCCTCTCCTATGAGGCCAGGCTGAGAGAGTTGGTGTTGTTCAGCCTGGAGAAAAGAAGGCTCTGGGGAGACCTTATTGCAGTCTTTCAATACTTAATGGGGGCTTATAAGAAAGATGGGGACAGACTTCTTAACAGAGTCGGTAGCAATAGGACAAGGGGTAATGGTTCTGAACTAGAAGAGGGTAGATTCAGACTAGATATAAGGAAGAAATTTTGTACGACGAGGGCAGTGAAACACTGGCACAGGTTGCCCAGATGCCCCATCTCTGGAAACATTCAAGGTCAGGCTGGACAGGGCTCTGAGCAGCCTGATCTAGTTGAAGATGTCCCTGTTCATTTGGGGGGGTGGACTAGATAACCTTTAAATGTCCCTTCCGACCCAAATGATTCTATGATCCTATGATTGATTTCCTTGCTTTCCCACTGACTTCCACCAGAAAAGTGTGGCCCATTCTGATGCTACAAGGTTTGAACTTGGGATCATTTACAATAGCAGTGTTCATTCACCATTATTTTGTTGAAGCAATGTAAAAAGACAAGGCTTAATTTGTGAAATGGGCCATCTGTTCCCATACAAACTGCATAATAGAATGCACAACTATTTCAATTAATATAGTAAACCATCTTTAAGCAATATGCATGATTTTGTATCTATTTTTGACTGCAGAAGATGTCATCATCCTTTGCTCTAATTGTTCTTGATTCTACCTCCTCATCTTTTTATTTAAAGAAAAGGAATGACAACTTGTCTCACTGGGAGCAAAGTTTGCTCATAGATGGCTCAGGAATAATTAGACCAAATGGTACTGCAAACTCCAGCAGACAGGATATCTCCATTAAAGAGAGTTATTTTGTCATTCCTTTGACCATCCTCCCATCAATCCATCCATCAACAAATTAAAGTTGCCTAAAAAGCCACTTATCTTGAGTGCTTTTTATCCTGATCGCTGTCAATCTAGGTAAATAAACATTTTCCCTAGGCAGAGTTTACATATTTAACCACATTTCAGGAGACAGTCCCCTTGCTACTCATACATCCAGCAAATTGCACGTGCTTTTGCTGTGTTTCCTGATTCACTTCACCCACACGTTGCACCTTCATTAAATGACCCCTGCTCCCTCTGGTTTGTCTTTAAAGGTGGGATGACCAGGATAAAGTTGCATTAAAACTTGCAGACTGAAAAAAGTCTAGAAATTAATTTTATTCCCTTAGGTTGGAAAAGCCTGGTGTCCCATGCAGGATGCACATCAATAACGGACCAAGTGTATGAAAGAAATAAAAAGCAGAGCTTTATCAGCAAGCCTGCTTTGAGGAATATGGCAATGCTACTGCATCTGACTTTCATCATTTGAACCATGATGTCATAAATGACTTTAGGGCTTCATGATGAACATAAACAATTATATGAGCACCATTATATTTGATATCTAATAAATATGTATGTGCCAGTGAATACACTGTTAAAGATATTACTTTCTCTCTATTATTTATTTTTCACTTAATTGTTACATAGAGTGGTTCACACTCTGCCTGCTGCCTATCAGGCAGACGCAAAGGAATAGCGCTCTTAGTTATTAGTATTAATGTATGCCTAGTGCTTTTCAAAAGTCACTCGTACACACACATGCACATAGAAGGGGCGACATTCCCCTCCCACTGAAGTCAATAGGCTATGTACCATTGCTGTCAGTAATAACAGGGGCTGTTCCCAAAGCTAACTGTAACTAAATCAGAATAAGACTGAGAACAAATGTGCTGCCGCGGGCAAAGCTGGAGAGTTTTTAGGGAAGCATGAGAGGAACAACAACCTGGTATTGCCTACTGATCATTAAGGACAACTTGTCTTTCCCTCTCAAATACGTTGCAAACATGACAGTTCGTTGGTACTGACCAGAGACCGACACATTCAGTTTTCGCATTGCCGTTGCGTGGCCAGGACTAGGGCCATGAGAACACTTGGGTGCTTTGCAGCCATGGTGTCCAGCTGCGCTGTGGAAGGCACAGCTCCATGCACAGTACTGGGGTGCCCTGTGCAGTGCCAGTGAGCCAGGCACAGCCATGCCTGCTGGCCTGCTAACTCCCATAAACCCTGCAGGCTGCCTGCCTGCTTCTTCGTGCCCCCTCACCTGATGGAGGAAGAGGTTTGATCTTGTAGCCACAAAAAAACCCATGTCTCAGTCGTTAGACTTCCCTACAGTGAAGGCAGGACATAAGAAAATGCTTCTGCAGTGGCAACATGCGTGTTGGATAATGCTGTATGGATATCAGTGGAAAACACTGGTCCAAGAAAGATAACGATGGCTCCTCAAGCAAGTTGGAGTCACAAACAGCGGTATGGCACTGACACTGCCTGATCCTCACCTGAAGCCAAAGCAGACCCCAAACACCATCTCCTCTATTTTACCTGCAACATAGCTGGCATTGAACATCTTACTGGCCACAGGCTTTTCACTTTGATGTAGTCAAAGCAGAAGCAAAGGAAGAGTTAACTTTCCAAACACAGCTTATCCCAAGTACAGAAGTATGTCTTGAGACTGCAACTCTGAAACAGCCATTCCAGATTTTGGTGCACCCCTGTTCTCCCACTTGCTCCTCCTGCCCCGTGGGTGCTCACTCAGTGCAGAGAGGCTTCACAGGGACTAACTGGAGGGGCTATCACCCCCTGACGATTTGTCAAAGGCAGGAGATGGTACAGCTGTGCCATAAAAGTAATCACAGCCGGTCTTATGGAAGAGGACAACTCAGCAAGGGCACCTTTCCCATGGACTGCAACAGAGTAGACGTAAGTAAGTAGCATAACCTTTCCTTACA